AATTCTTCAGTACTAAGTACCCCACAAAATGCAAACAAGTGATTAGTAATTTGATAAACCTCAAGCCCATGGAGGTTGTGCTACAGATACTTAGGTTTGAAATTGTACAATTATTGGATGAGCTCAATATCAAGACAAAAAGTCTATAAAGAGGAGAAGTAGTTTAACATTTTAAACCTTTTTTGAGCTAATAACCAACCCATATTGAAATTCGAAAGGTCTTGGATCAATTAAAACACCTTTTAAGTACAACAAACACATGTCAAGGCCATAAGAATTTGACTATATGTTCCACCCTATTAGATCAAAATATCGTAACCCTCCTTGAGAATCCAAAGTTGTGTGTTATTTGTTTAGTTGAAGTCCTAAACTTTATTCCTCCCGGAGGATATCCAGTAGACAGAAACTTGACCCTTTAGTTTTAAGGTCTTGTGTTCAATTAAACTTCAAAATTTATTTTTTGCGATACAAGTATCCCTAAATTTTGCTTGGCCTTAATCTTTTTCAGACAGTCTTAAAAGTAGATTTAGCAATTTATGTATTTGTCTTGTGTAAAATATTAACAATTCGTGTATTCATATTACCTTTTACATAAAAATTATGTGTCACAATTTGTATCGGCACTCGACACAAAAACATAAAATATATTTTTTAGTTTTTTTAAACATATTTATTGTTTTTATTAAAATTTTAAATTATATTATTTTCGTATTTTTTATTCATATTATTTTCATGTCATATTATTATATCATAATTAAAATTATCAAATCTACTTAAAAGTACACATTCTCATTAATTTGATTTATTCAAAATTTTACTTTTAAAATATTTTTGCACAAAAATGAAACCGATAAGAAAAAGGTTCTCTCCTTGTCAAAGTATTTCTCATTGTACAATTTAAAATACAAAAGAAAAGAAATTAATTTTAGGTTAAAACCATCATAAGGATAATTAAGTAAATATAATATTTATAGGCCTCTCTCCAAAGTCAAACTTTTATAGTAAGGCCTCGGCCAATCAATTGTAATTAAAGTATTTTTAATGTTCCTAATACTATAACTAATTTATAAAAAAATTTTGGCCAGTAATCTTATAAATTAATTAAATGCGTAGATTTCTTAGAGGAAGAGTTGCTAAAATTTTGCTTCCAATGATGTGCCGTGCCGTCACAACTACTCTTGCTCCAGTTGTTTCTTGACAGCACAGAATGAAATGCAATGAAACAAGAAACAATAAATTATTTGCATGTAATCCATGAACTACATTTAGCATAATTTAATGCATAACTTTACTAAAGAAGTTTTTTTTTGGTGCTATACTAAAGAAAATTTTAATTATACACATAAAGGTTCCAAAATTAAAATAATGAATAAATGAGAAAGGAGAGATCCAAGTTCATTACTATATCTGAATTATGATTTATGGACTTTGGACCACCATGGAATTCATACAAATTAACAATTTCACTACATTTTTTTTTTCTTCTTTTTCGTTTTTCATGAGAAGAAAATGAATAAGATGATCATCATAAACAAAAACAAAAATACATTAACATACAAGATAGGAGCAAAAACAAAAACAAAAAAAAAAAAGAAACAAAAACCTCAATGGTGCAAGGGGTTTGGACCAGTAGGAACAAGCCGTTTTTCGACACCGTAACGCGGGTTGATCTCATAACCGGAAGGTTCAGGCTGGACGGGGAGGTGTATCGGACGATGTCGTCGATGGTGCTTGTGATGTAGAAATGGAGTGAAGTCAAATTTGGTAGCCAAGACTTTCCTTTTGCTCAAAGTGTGATGAGAAATAGATCCTTGGTGGTGACTAGTATTGATGCTATTAATATCCGTGGAAAATAAATTGCGCCACCCAAAGAATAAAAGCAACAAAGAGAGCCAAAGAATGATACAGAAAAGATTTAAACTATTGTTTTTCATGACCATGGCTAGGGAGGGTTGAAGAGAAGAGTTTGCATGGAGAGAAAGAAGTCGAAAATATTAGATAAAAAAAGAGAAAGGGTGCTTTAGAGGGGAATGGCGGAGTGGAGAGAGGATTGCAAGAATGACAGCTTAAAATTGTGGCAGCTATGGGTTGCTTCCATGGTAGTTTATTAGAGGGAAGAAGAGAGAAAGAAGGAGGTCAAAGGGAAGCAGGTCCAGCAGATGCGGAGGGTCAAGGGCCAAAATTGTCGACTATTGTTCATATCTTCTACCAATGAAACTTCCTTTGCGTTCAAGGAACAGAAGGCCATTAAAAGCACAGATTGTCAAACCATGAATTATTTATTAGGATGACAAATACTCAAGTGACAGCACCCTTGTATGGTAAGACAAGACTCATAGGAATTTGTGAATTTTTTAAAAATGATTTAATAAAAGTTTTAATAAAAAATTCCAGTAAATAAAATAATAAAATTTAATATGAAAATCAATAAAATATAAAAAAAATTATTAAAAATATTTTTTATAATTCAAATTTAATCGATATTTATTTAATATTAAAAAATTTTCAACAATTTTAATAAAAATATTTATTTAAAAAATATAGCAAAATTTAATAATATTTTTTAAAAGTTTTGCACACTTATTTATATAAGAAAATCTCTTAATATATTAATTTTAATTTTTTATTTTATTTAATTATTTTTAATAAAAAAATTCACGAACTTAACTTAAAAAATTTTATTTAATTCTTTCCCTTTACAATAAATATGCCCATTCTTCAGTATTAAATTATAAGCCAATTACTTATAGTTGATTTAGTTTTATCTACCAAAAGTCTTTTAGATAGTAAAATTTCATCAAATTATAAATTAGTTTTTATACTTTTATTATAATGATCAAGATTTAATTTACAATAATTTGATCAAATTATTGCGTCCCTTTCCTTTTTGAGAGATTTAAATTTTTAATACAAATGTTAATTGAATTCCCACCGTTAAGTTCGTTGACATGGACATTGACTTGTTAGCATAGTATTGATTTTACTCACGTGGTGTTTGCCTTTTCTCTTCTTTCTTGGTTTTTTTGTTAATTTTTATTCTTCACCCAAAATGGTGAATTCTAATCACCTATAAATTTCAATATTTTAGTTTTATTTTCAATCTTTTTCTTCTCTAATTGATACCAAATCTCCACCAAAAATAATTTTATTTTAATAAAACCATCGGTACAAATAATTCATTATATGTCAAATACATAAATGATTCAATAACAAAATTGGATGAATTCTATCATCGGATCACCGATTCAAACAACTCAACCGACGATCCGATCATGAAAATGTTTAATCAAAAATAATTTATTTTAAATTTATTGGGCGATTGAAGTGAGCTGAGTTCAAGTTCTACTTTGGGCTTGCAGCAGCCTCAACTTTATTATTATATATTAGCTATTATATATTGTCATTAATGTTACTATTTCTAAATCAGTCCAAAGTTTTTCATGACTTCATGAAGCCCACCTCACAAATAACGATTATGGCCTTAAAGTTAGCTACTTGTCTAAGCGGATCAAGCCTTCTTGTATACGGGCCAACCCTGCAGCTCTGATGGCTACCATGGCCTAATAGTCATTATAACCTTTTCTGACACATTCTTTTATAATGTTTTTTTGAATAAAAATGAAAGAAAAATTTTAAGATTGTTGAAAAGGATTAGAAATTGAGTATTTTAAAATTTTATTTTTTCTTACTTCAGTTTTGAGAACTTTATTTTATGTGTACTTGGTCATTATTATTATAATATCAAATTGAGAAATAATTGCTTTATTTGTTTTGTATAAAAAATAAAATCTAATCTATATAAAAAAATTTACAATATCAAAATCGAATATCAATTTTGTAAAAATGTGTAGGGAGTTTTTTTTTTTTGGTTATTGAGAAATAATATTCCATTCTTACTATGTTTCATTTACCAACATGCCATAAAAATCATGATAATTAAATCAAATAAATTATTTTATTTATATGAAAAATATATATTATTAATTTTTTTCTAAAATTTCATATTTTACATTATAAATAAATCTATTCACTTGCTCGACAGTCAACTCAAATTCAAAAATTTGCTCAAAATTTTGAATGTTTGAACATAAATATTAAATTCGTTAAATAAATTTAAATAAATAAATGAGATTTGATAAAAAAATAAGATCGAATTTTGATTTTACCGTTTAAAATTTGGATTCGGACCGACTTAATTTAAAAATTAAAAAAATATTTTTTATTATAATAAAAAAAACTCATTTATTTTATTTTTTATAATGAATAAGACCCATTTTGTTTTATTATTTATAATATAATAAAATTAATTTTTTTCTTTATATAAAATAATAATTTAATTTTAAATTATATTTAATAAAATTAAATTGAACTCAAATCTAAATAGCTCTTAAATTTTATTAAAATTAATTAAATTAAAAATAAAAAAAAACTTTTTTCTTTAATTTTAAATATTAATGCTTTTGATAGATGAATTTTATTATTATATATAAAAATAAGTTTAGATAAAAAATAAAATTCAAAAAATCAAATTGAGTCGAGTTTATACTTACTTAAAATATTAATTATATCCAATCCAAATCTAACCCGACCCTACCCACGAGGAAATCTAGTTATAAAACCCTTCAATATAATCTTTACAAGAAAAAGCGAAATGAATATAGACTACACACTTACTTACTAAAGAGGACATATTTATATATCTATTAAGAATGATTAGATCATCTCTTTTCTGGATAAATAATTATTACATCATCTTTGCAAAGTTCAAAATAAAAAATAAAAAATCCATTCCACTAATTAATCCCCAAAAACAATGTCCACAAGCCAATTCAGACCCAGACTCTCGCTGTCCCTTCGATCCCGATCCCGAACTTGCCACGTGTGCGGTTGTGATCGAACTAATAATCAACACAGGGCAGATCATCATCAGCCAACCCACAAAAACAGCACGTGAGCTTCTCTATATATAAATGAACTCTTCTCCCGCTCTCTCAAACAGAAACTTTGAGTGCAAAAAATAAATTTAGAGTCGCTTGACCTTGAGCTATGGCCAAGCCTCGCAAACCCAAGCCAGCTAATTCTGGCGCCGTCGTCCTCCACCAGAAGCTCTGCCTTTCTATCTACACGAACCTCCGTCGCATCTACGGGTAATTCTATTACATTTCACTCTCCTCTCTCTCTGCATCTTGTTGCGGAAAATTGTTGTCTCGTTAAAAGGATGTCATTTCGATTGGTTTTCAGTTACACTGAGCTGGAAATTGAGGTCCCTGATATGGGAATCGTCGGATTACACGCGGATAATTTAGGGATCGAGAATGTGCTTGTAGATGGGGACCCGACGGAGTTTGAGTATTACCCGCATAATCAGGGGGCCGATAGTGAAAAGTGTTGCGCCCCCGTGTCTTCCCCGACTTCAGCCACAGATGCTTCCGTCGCTGCTTATTTTACGGCACTGGAGATGGAACTGATCCCTAACTTGCTTATCAATTGTTGCAATAAGATGCAAATTAAGCAAATTAATAGGGAGACGAACGGAGTCCAATCGTCTGCTGAAATCCAGCAGGTTACTGTGGCTTTTTTTAGTGACTATATAATGTTTTGAATTTAAATTTGGTTTTTCTTAGTTGCATGTAAATGCTAAGGGATTTAAAGTAAAAAGTAATGTGGTAGAGTTTGTTAAATTACGTTTATGGTTTTGATTTATGGCAATATGTAAACAAAAACAAAAACAAAAACAAAATAATGGATTTTTTTTTTATGGTTGCTTTAACTACTTGCTTCCTAAAAATTGTTATGAAGCAACATGAAATTGGAAAAAATGGATAAATGACTAAAATGTAGCATCAATTTTAAAATAATTGTCATATATAACATGCATTTTCTTCTCATATACGTACAAGACATACACGTAACTTTATTTTTATGATGTGTTTTGCTTTTCATGCTAGTAGCAAAAGTAGAAACTAAATGATATCTACAAACACCGTTTTTATGAGGAAAAAAAATGAGGGAAGTTTTTGGGTGATAAACTCGCTGTGTACTGAGTTTGATGGATGAGGTTTATGGGAATTTTGGTTTCTCATGTAGATTGGTATTGGGTGCAGAATGTGAACTCTGTTCATGTTAACTATTCGGTAGAAAAAATGGAGACAGGGATTCATTTTGAGGATAATGTGGTATATACTGAATTACTGATAATCAGATAAGGCATGCACGGTGCTGGTTTCCCTATGCTGGTATGAGATTATAGTCTGTCACTTCTTATATTAATGTGGCTTTTTGGGCATTTTGCAGTCTCTATGTATATTCTGTTCAGTTAGGATCTGGAATTCACAGTTGCCCATAATCTTGTGGCTGTCAGCAATGGTAGCTTACTATATCAGGTGAGACAAAACTGACGGAAAAATATCTAGTGGACATCTAGGTTATAACCATGCCAAAAATTGTAGACATGCACATTTTTGTGGTTTGCATGGTGATTTCTCAGCCAAAGTTCCATGGAAGCATTAGAAAAGTACATCTTGACTTCCTCTGTCACTAAGGGTGGAGGCCAAAAATATTTTTGATGAATTCTCATGAACAATCAACCTGAACTTAATGGAAGAGGCATTTTTTTGAAGTACTAAAGATCAATATTTCCAAATTAAAATTCTGAAAAGCATATAAAATTGAAAATACTAGAGATATAAATATGAAAAAGAAGAAAGTTTAGAGAGAGGCTTTAACTCTGTTTAAACTAGCTCCAATATAGGAGGAAACAGCACACTCAGATTCTGTCAGGCCCATATGATGTAATATCAGATGAGACAAAATTGATAGGCACATTGTCTTTATTTATCTTTTTCCACTGCATGCATAATAAAATGCTGCTGTCCGTTTAAATAATCTTTTCTGTTTAGAATAATCTAATCCTTTTCCTCTTCATAGTCTTATTTAATCCTATCCATGTAGGATAACGAGCAGCCTTCTCATAAATGTTTCTGGCTAATCTTGAATTTTTTTGTTGTAATAAATGGTAAAACTCATATACTTGTGATCTAAAAATGGTCAAACAAACAAATTCCTTGGAATAGGCCTTCGTCCAGTTCTAGTTCAGTGCATAATTTGCTGGGATAGCTCATTTGGGAAAGCATTAGACTAAAGATCTGAAGGTCGCATGTTCAATCCGTGCTCACTGCATGCATCCTTGGGGATGAGGCTTGGAGTTGATTTATTTACTTGGAAGGTTGCTAAAATCATACTTGGTGAAGGTGGAATATTATGCTTTTAGGGATAGGACAAATAACTTTGATTTATTCCATACTTTTGTTACAATTCAACTCAATTTGCAAATGATGTCACAAAACTACTCTAGGCTAGGCAAACTTTTGGCTTGCTAAAGTGCCAATCTGGAGGGTCAAAATAATAGCTAAAATTGAATATCATACCTTTAAATGATATAATTGTTAAGATTAACTCCTTAACAGTTCAGTGCTGGTTCAGGTTCGTCTAAAATTGGGTGGGTTGCATTCCTTACTTCTTAGTGCAGGAACTGGGGAGCTGTTCTCTGTTGCCCCTTTCAGCTGAAATAGAACTCATATGTTGCTTGTTGATCAAAATATAATGTGCTGAAATGCACCTTCGTTAATTAATATAAGGATAAAAGGTGAATTTTATGGTGGTGGTTTTACCAAACGTGAGAAAAGCATGTTTCATATTGAGGGTGCTGAGGGTGCTAAAGTGTTTGCTTTTGTTCTAATCTTTTTGGAGCATCAATGATAGGCTAGAGTATGATTGTTTGTCTGGGCAAAAGCTTAAAGAATTCAACACCAAACAAATCAATTTCCTTGATTCATTCATGCAATTAAAGATTTAATTGCGTCCAGTACCATGTTAGAAGCAAAAACTTATGCGAAGTTTGATCTATGAGTACTCATTTAACTGAAGCCTCATTTTAGGGTTTCTGTTTGTAGTGAGAATTTTTGCTGAGTTAGGTGTTGAAGCTGTAAAAGCCTCTAGGTATAGGTAGTAAATTTAAATGAAAGGAAGCAAAAATTGGTGTTGAGCCTGGATGTTATTATGCAACTGCAGAAGTATGATATAAATATACATAAGATTAGCGGTATATGTTAACAATAGTGTATGCCTGACCCAGTATTTAGCATCTAGCTTACTTTCTTGATGGTATGCATCATTTTTATTTTAAAAAGGAGTTTCCTAAAGTTGTGTAGATAATATAAGCCGTGCTGTCTACTCAGAAGAGCATCATTATTCCTGAATTGTTTACTTGCCTTTATCTTGTGTTTTGCACTTGTAGAGCTGAATAACCGGTTGAACATTTCAGTGGTTTTGTTATAATCTAAGGTTTTTTGAATTTCATGAGTAATGATGGTTAGTATAGCTTCTTTTTCTTCAAAATGTTACTTTTTTTTCTTAACCACAGTGTTGAAGCATTCAACCAATATTGCTGAACTAGATGGCCCTAGCACTCTTTCATCCCTCTCTTTAGTAATAATAGTGATTTGTTACTTGTAGTTGAGGCTTCTGATATTTTTAGTTGTTCTTTGCAAGTATTGAGCAAAGACGACCCTCCTCGCAAGACATATGTCTATAGATTAGATCTTCCTGTCACTGCTCAGTGGATATCCTTGGCAGTTGGACCGGTTGAAATCCTCCCTGATCAGCATAATGTTCTCATTTCGTACATATGTTTACAACCTAATTTGCCAAAGCTATGTTACACAGTGGAGTTTTTCCATAGTGCATCTAGTTTTTCATCTTTAGTTAAACTGACTGTTATTATTAAAATCTGTTCTTTCATTTCATAATTAGGATATTTACATTTAAGTTTCTAATTTACACTGTTTATGTGGTTGTTTTGCATTGTACTTTACACAGTGAGTATGAGCAGTATCTTGAATCAAAATTTCCATATGGGTCATACAAGCAAGTTTTTCTAGCTCCTGAGATGGCAATATCCTCCTCATTCCTCTCAACTTTTGAAGCCTCCATGAGCATCCTTAGTTCTCAAGTTTTATTTGATGAGAAGGTCCTTGATCAGGTTTGTTCTCTGCTTGAACTCAGTATTGAGAGCTCATGACTAATGAGTTTATTCATAATTATAGAGCCTTATTTGTGTTATTACACTGGGAGGAGTTTAAGATGCAAAATACATGTGCAGTATTACATTAAGCAAAAAAATGGTAGTCTGTTGTAAACTCCATAAATACTTCTTGCTCTATATGGTGAGCATAAGGTGCATGGTTAAACTATGAATGTGATACAGTATCTATCATGAACTTTTACCATATTCTTTTTAATTAAGAACCTGCCAGTCTAACACATAAGTTTTCATTGTGGCTATATTCTTCATTGTGATCCAGCATGTTCTTTAGATATCTATTTCAGTTTTCTCAATTTTGAGGGTTGATGATTTTATTCTTCATTCTGTTGTTATTTGTCCTTGCTAGTGCCAGACGTTTCTCTTTTTCTCCTCTCTTTTTTCTTAAAATCCAGATTAAAGAGTTGAATTGGTCTCCAAAAAGTATCTTGTATACCTCTTGAATGTTGTATTCATACGTTTTTCCTAAGGGAGATGGCAATCTTGCAAAAAAAAAAAAAAAACCCATTGTATGCCCATTGTATGCTTGTCTGTAGAAATCCTTGTATGTGATCATTTGATTCCAACCTTAGTGATATATATGTTGAAATATAAATAAATAAATAAATAACCCTGTTTGAGTGAAGAACCAAACCATCATGCTTCCCTGAGAAAAGTATTGTACTGTTGTACATTGTCTATAATTTGAACGTTTTTCACCAGAAGTTATTGGTTAAAATCAAACTTTTGTCTATAGTTTTAACTTTTTTCAATTGTAGTAATTGGTTAAAATCAAACTAGGACTATTTCAGAAGGATGTCTTATTTTTCAACTTGTCAGAAATTAATTTGAGTCGGATGTTTAAAAATGGTATTAAAGCATAGATTAATTTTTGTAGTCCATGCAATAGGTTTAGTTGGCTTGGTTGTTTTATCGGCCTATACTTATGGGGGAGGTTTAGTTGATGTTTTATTTTTTTGATTTTTGTTTGTTATGACCTTAAATTCATGTTAAACTTTCCCACCTTGCAAATTGGCTTTAACTTATATGATTGACAATTAATTGGGACTACAAAGCAAATTGTCTCGTTTATGATGCTATATTTTATTTCTTTCCAAAATTTTGGTTGTTTCTGCTTTTTGTGTGGCTGCCTCATTTTTTGTTGTCTTTGCAGGTTAATTGAACTTCTATATGCGCATGAACTGCACTATATACCATGTCTTCATTATTATAACTTTGATAACGTAACCATTTCTCAAACTTTTCTTGTCCTTCGTTCTGTTGTTCATATGTAAATTTGTGACTTAACAGACAAAAGGCACATGCATCAAAATTTCCGTATGTTGATGGGTAATGCTGCCTTTGTTGCTTGACTGATATTTGACTGATTTGTTCATCAAGAAATTTTTGGGAGATAACGAGGTGTGATATCGAAGATACAAGGTTTGTTTTTTATGGAGACATGTAAAATACCACATACATTATAATTTTTGCCATGCAAATAACTTGTTCATCTTGCGGTTCTAAAAGGTTGAAATTATTGGAGAAGCCAATTGTGGTCGCTAAATCAGAGAATCTCTCCTATTTTGGCTTCCTCTGTGAGTAGTATTTCAGTAGCCCTTACTTTTCCTATGAAAGCCTATTACAAGTAGTTTGAGTTAATATTTTCTATTTTAAATCTCTTTTTTCTATTCACCATTTGCTCCTACATTTGATTCTTGCCAGTACTAGAGTTGTTCCTTTATCATTAAAATTATAAACTCGTTAAAAAAACTAACTTGAATTTTGAAGTTGACTAGGCATTCTCGTCCATTTGCTTGTGCATGATGTTGTTCCATTTTAATAAAAAGCTCATAATCTGCACGGTTGCTGGCTAAGAGTTTAAAGAATGCAAAAAATTGCAGTCTACCTTTAGTAGAACAGAAGTACTAAGACCAACACAGAAACTTTGATATCTTTTCTTCTGTTTTACTTATATTTTAGTATCAATTTTTTTTTTCTGTCCATCTTAATCTAGGGAGAAGCACAAACAAGAAAATTTACCCTTTTTCTGATTGTTTTTCCTCTTTCTTATTAAAAACTATCCTTGTGATTACTGTAAAATTTATCCTACTGAGGAACTTTATAAGATTCGATAAAATTAGCATCGTTTTAATTAATAACAATTACAATGGGGGTTTTGGATCAAATTATCTGAGGTTCTCGATGATGTATACCAGACTTTCATCAGCCAAATATTCTATGACAGCTCTCCTTCTGCAGCTAACTTGTTGAATTCAGTTTTGCTGATTAAGGTGCTTAAGAGGTATCAATTTCTTCTTTCTGCATCAGAATCTTGGTGGTTGAGGAGAGGGGTGCAGCCCCAGTGTCATGAGCCAACCTTGCATAGGGTCATGACCGGGGCTTAGGTTGTCATGAGCCACCCATGTATAGGGCCATGACCGGGTAGAGGTGCCAAGGGGGGAGGGTAGATCTCTTGTGCTAGGAAAAGTGTCCCCATTTCAAACATTGTAACAGTT